GCGAAACATTGCATGTATAGGTTCACGATTTGGTATAGCCCCATATAACGGTACCTTCCGATATTCGGCATTTTAATGTTTTTGCCACATTTCTTCCAATGATTCCTTTACCTTAAGGTGGAGGGTATTAAAAGTTTGGACCGACCGGTTTTTTTACTTGTTTTTCACTATTCTCTTCATGACCTCCTCCAAAACTTCGCGGTACAGCGAAACGTTATCAGAAGCTATCATCGGAAAACAAAAAAATTTAAATCAAAAATGTTTTATAAAAAATTAAATAATTTTTGATTAAATATATAATATATTATATTTATATAAAAATAATAATATTTTAATAAATAAGACCGAATATAGGGTGCACAGTGTCGAAAACACAATTTAAATTTAATTTTATTTGATATCCGAAAGATTCAAAGCAACAAATATCCGGAAATGGCACTAAAATATTTCGATCAATTTGTTGGATAATATTAGGAAGTGTGAACTCCCCTAATACACATGATCATATGTTGTCAATATGTGAGTATCAGAGATGTCACAAGTGTGAATAAAGAGCGGCAACAATCAGTTGTTTTGGTGGTATTTTTAACAAGAAGAAGAAAATAAAAGAAAAACAACACAATTAGAAACCAAACAATATTAATATTTCAGTGATTGTTTTTGTTATGAACACTAGTGACAAAGCGACGAATTGACACTTAATGTTCCTTGTTTATAAATGAAAATATAACGACAGATGGACACTATGCACGCTATAAAACGACCGAGGCTTTATTAATTTTTTTTTTATCACAACACGGAAACCACGTATGACACTATTTGTAAAACGAATTAGGCAGTATACATACCTGTGTTGTTAATACAATTTTTATTTGAAATAAATAAATGGCAATGTAGAGGATTGGTCGATGATCTATTTATTGGTGTTGTTGTTGTCCTCGACTATGTCGAACTTGCCTTGTGAGTTTTAACGAATTGAAAAGCTAACATGTCGCAAAGTGGCGCTTAGCAAAAATTACTCGTTAGATATTGTTATTACTTACCTTATCTGCGAAATAAACAAAGACGTTTTTAAAAGTAGTGAAAAAAATCTAACGCTGGTATGAAGAGACCGTGGGATAGATGCACAATAAACAACATCAATTAAATTACATTAAATTATTAACAGACAGGAAAAGATTTTTTTGCCAGACTTTAATTGGGATGATACAGTGTCAGCGTCTACTTTTATTAAATGGAAACATTTTGTGGATCAACTTCCAAACATCGATCCAATATATATCCCGCGATGGACTAATTTCTTCTTAGAGGGCACAATTTAAATACATGGTTCTTGTGAATTATCTGAGAAAGCCTATTGTTCTACACTGTATATTTTTATGACTACAGAGACCAGCAAAAAAAGTGTCGAATACTAAGAGCAAAGGAGCGCCATTGGAAAAAATAATTTCACAAGACTAGAGCATCGTGGTGCCATATTGCTCTCATCGCAAAAGCTTCCATCCACATGGAACAAATACAGAAATTGTAAATGGAGACATGTTTCAACGAACTGTAATCCAGCAGATCTTGGGACTAGAGGTTCCAGTACTGAAGAATTATGTCATAATTCGCTATGGTGACATGGTTCAATCTAGTTACTTAGTTTTAAGAATACTTGGCCTAATTCAAATATAATTGTACACGATCCACCAGAACAATGAAAAGTATTTGTACATTACGCACCAATTTTTGAGAAAGATATATTTATTATAAACTAGTTTTCTTTTTACAAAAAAGCACTGTGGATTGTTGGCTATATATTTCATATGAAGAAGCGTCAAGAAAAACAATGAAAATCTGAGTAGTCAAATGATAAGATTCTTTCTCACAAGGTGTAAAATCCTGTAAAATTTATTATAGTCTGAATAGCCCAAGTTTTTCATTCTCTGAGGGAGAAAAATTATTGAAGCAATTCGAAATACATTCCACCTCCAAGCTCTTTGCGACAATAGGCATAGGACCCATTTCTGGCGTACTTGCGAGAGGGAATCGGGGAATTTAAAATTTCCATCCATATGCAGAATAAAGGTTGATGCAGAAACAACAACAAACCCTTTTTTGGGTATCACAACCCATCAGCAAAGAGCAACAGAAATCAAGAAAGCCACGGTCGCAAACATTTATTTTTTTTAAGTTTTTAATGTGCAGAGAACAAACGTAAGAATACTTGTGTTGTAGTTTTATAAATTAAAATTGTTGACCGTCTTGTTCAACAATAATCTTTTATTATTAAGGTAAACTGGCCGTGAAATAAATAAGACACCTGTTGCTTTATTTTATTTTATTATTTTGTTTTTTTATCTTTCGTTCCCACGCCTCTCACACCCGCCCACGTTGACCGAGGGAGCCACCTCCCTATATGTAGAGAGCGCATACACACCAAAGTCCGGACTTAGGCGGGTTAGCAATGGTTTCACACCGGCTACAGAAACTACATCAGCCAGTAAATAAAATAATA